CTTTCTAGATAACATCTTTTTCCCCAAATACAAGGAAAGCGCACACTGAACCTCTGTCTACGTCAGCAGTGACGTCAGATCCCAGGGGAGATGTGGCCAAGGCTGAACTCGGAGAGAAGCAGGCAGGCGGCTTACTATGTAGGAGACTGGTGGCTTTGGAACACAAATTTCTCTCGAGTTGAAGAAATGGGGAACTCTAGCTGGAAAATCAAAGTGAAGGCTGAGTTTGAACGACTTAGTCACAGCTGAAGGAACTTCCCTTACCTAACCAGCAAGGAAAACAGCTGGCTCCGTACTTCCTGGGAATCTGCGCGTCACCACGGAGGGAGGGACCACGTGAGAGCACAGGACGGCCAGACAAAGGGCCAGAGCGGGAGGGGGGCCGGTCAGAGACGCGGTGGGACGCTCGGAGAGCGCAGGGCCTCCGGAGTGCGAGTCTTCCACCCACGCACATATCCCACAGAGTCTCCCGTGTGCTGGGGCTCGTGTGGGGCTCTGGGGGCACCAGGATGCTCAGTGCGTGGTCTCCGCATTTTTAGCGGGGTCCAGTCAATAAGATCAATCAGTGCCAAAAGGCCGAGGGGGGTGTGACCACGTGTGACCTGTGAGTGTGGCTCAGTGGAGGGGCTGGGACGGAGGCTGGACTTCAGGGACGTAAGACCGGACAGTGGAAAAGGAGTGTGTACTCTGGTCATTTACGGTATTGGTAGAAATGCGGTTTATCTGGGGAAGCAGGCTTGGGACATGGTTTGAGAGACTTCAAACCAAAAGGTTAAATTAGAAAAAAGTTGAGTGTTATGAGGTAATTCAAGATAATGTAACCTGGAACGTCAAAAATTCATCCTTCTAAACCCACTGACTTCACCAGTGGGACTTAGCCCAGGAAAACAGTGAGACCGGGAGGACAAAGGAAGGACTCTCACTCTTTGGTCTACACACTTCACGGAACTCGAAGTTTCTCTAATAAGCCGGTGTTTTACAGCTTTTAAGTAACAAAGACTTACAGCACTAAAAAGGGGAAAATGCTGCAAATCTCTATACGGAAAATACTCCTATTGTATAACAACAAAACACAAAAAAGTGACTTTTAATGTCCAGTACTAGGGAAATGAGTTTGAAAATTAGGATATAATTATATCCTAGGAGCTTTTTTGCAACAAATCAAAGAATGTAATGACAAGTATGTAATAACATGAAAAAGACTTCATCAGTTTAGTAAGGGGGAAAAAGGCCAAAAATGTAATGTAGGCTGTGATTATGTTGTGTAAAGGTATGTATTAAAAAGCCTACTGAAAAATAAACCACACACATAAAACTTAACAAATCGTGTTAGCATGCAAAGATTTGCGTGGCTTTCTCCTCTCCACTAACAGTTTTGCAAAAACATGATTTTATTGCTGCTTTTTAAAAAAGATTTTATTTATTTATTTTTAGAGAGAAGGGAAGGGAGGGAGAAAGAGAGGGAGAGAAACATCAATGTGTGGTTGCCTCTCCTGCACCCCCAACTGGGGGACCTGGCCTGCAACCCAGGTATGTGCCCTGACTGGGAATCAAACTAGCGACCCTTGGTTCACCAGCCGGCACTCAATTGACTGAGCCACACCAGCCAGAGCTGCTGCTTTTATTTTTAAGAGGAAAGATGCCACAAAAGAAAAACCAAAATGACGCTATAAGGACAAGCCGTCGGAGTGGCAGTGCGGGCTGGAGAAGGCAGCCCTGTGCGTGTGGGCCTGCAGGGGGCAGCCCAGCGGGGCAGGCGCGCACGGCCCGGCTCTTCGGCCCTCTCAGCGCCTCGGCCACCTCGCACAAATGAGGGTTTTGGAATAGCTCACCTCTAAAGCGCCTCCAGGTTTAACACTGTATGATTTTAAGTTGAAAAAACTAAGAAATCAGAGAACAGGCAAGAGAAATCAGGAATCTCTCCAATTCCCCACATGGTGTAGGAAACAGGGTGGGGGAGGGACCGTCTGGTCATTAAGTCTTAACGCTTACTTCAGACAAAACTGTGCGTAAGCACTGCGGGCACTTAGTGAAATACTACATCCCTCCCCCAGGTTTAGAAGGTGCTTACGGATAAATACACAGCTGTAGAGTTGAAACGACAACATGAAACAGAAGTGTCCAGGGAAAGTGCGAAGCCACACGGTTGGTCCCCTGCCCTATGAGCTGCGGCGGACAGCGTCTCCAGGAGTCAGGAGAGGGCAGGTGTCGGTGCGGGGAGGGCTCACAGGCGGCAGTGCTGGACACCCGCAGGAGGGACACGCCCCAGGCCCACTGAAGAGTGGGGGCGGGGTTTCTTCTGGGGCTGAAGCGAACGTTTGCACGGATAATGGCGGATGGCTACACAACCTTGTAAACATGCCCCAGATCACTGACATACAGTTTAAAAGGTTGAGTTTTACGGTATGGAAATTACATTTCAATTTTTAAAAAGATAGGGTCAGAAGTAACTCATTGAAAAGTGCGGAAAAATCCAAAGGTACGCTGAGCAGAGTAATGAGGACAGGGCAGGCTGAAAACAAATTTCAAGGGACCGAGAGCGTCAGGAAAAGGTGACTGGGAATCATCACCCGCAAGACAGCAAGGGGAGCGAAGACCGACGAGCCGAAACCTGAACGACCACAGCTGTGTGTGCGTGTCCTCTGCCGGAAAAACGTGCCTCGAGTAGGCAGGGCGGGGGCCAGGTCCCACTCGCCTGGCAGGCCCTCGAGTATCCCGGGCGAGTTTATGAGTGAACGGCCAGCTGGAGGTTACTCTGGGTACGTGCGAAAAGAAGAACACGGGAGGGCCGGGCCTGGGTCAGCAACGTCTAACTGAATGAGGAGGAGCCCAGGCCTACACGGCACGACCCGGTAAGTACTCCGCACCAGGAGTATTTGCACACAGGATCGAGAGGATGGAAAGAAGCAAGAGGTTTTCCAAGAGTCTTTGCTCTCTATCAAGTGTATGAAATATATTTAATGGGTTTAAATGCAAAAATGCTACAGAGTTTAGCTCCAGCTATACAAACTAAATTCCACTTGTGGGGGGGGTAGAGAAGGAGAGACAGAGAGAAGAGGAGAAAAAAAAAGAAACACGAGATGAGCAGAAGAGAAAGAAGCGATGAGTGGCCACTGTCTCTTTAAGAGGCTCCTTGGAGATACATAACTGGAGAAAGCCTGGCGAATACAACATTGATTGGGAGTGAGGTAACCACAAACACCGCTGTCTCAAATGAAAAGGGATTCAAGATCTGACCCAGAAAACAAGCATCGTAACCACCAGATAAAATTTTAATGATAAACACAAGATGCTCTACATACAAGCAAGATGTGAAGTAGCTGATGCTAGGCCGTAAACGCAAGGTCCTCTCAGAAAGAGGAGCCGTGAGGAGCCTCTCTGGTCCACGGATCAAGTTCCACCTTATCGATCCGCACAACTCTGCCATCGCTTTGCTCTGCGCGGGTCTAGTCTGCAGGGCTGGGCGGGCCTCGGGGGAACACGGAGGCAGGGGGAAAGGACTGGCACCAGCCTGCCTTTTGTGAGGTCCACGTCCAGATGAGAAGTTCATCACCGGCCCCCGAGACTCAAGTCTGCTTTATTTCTGATTTCTTTTATGACTCTCTCGGTCCAATCTCCACATTCGGTCCTCAGAGGTCCCATGACACACAAGGAGACCCCTTCAAGCTAGAAGGACAGCGGTCCCTTTCTCGGGTAACATGGGACCTCGGCACTGGTGGGAGGAAGGACCTCACAGTACGCACCACGAGCTCTCAGGCCCGCACCTGTGCAGCGAGGGGCGCAAGCCCAAAGCCGCACCGGTTGGACAGAACTCCAGGTTTCCAGCCCATCAATCTTTCTAAAATAGTAGTTCTATCGTGCTCTGAGTCAGAGCATTAACCCCTACATTGTGGCCAGGAAAAACAAAATCTGAACAAAAGTGTTCCTTTATGCTGTACACATGAAACTAATACAAAAGCATACTGAATGTAAACTGTAATTTTAAAAAAATTTAATTGCACTTACAAAAATAAGAAAACCAGAACAACAACAACAACAACAACAACAAAACCCCAAACATGCTCCTCTTGGGCATATCTTGTTTAAAGCACAAAAGACTTTTTCATAGGCACTGAATGCCAGAAAATATTAAAATAATCTGACTGCAATTTCAAGTGGTTCTCTTGAAGAAATGCTTCTTAAAGAAAAAAAAATTTTCCTTAAAGAAGAACTTGCGTACTCCTAAGTTGTTAGGTCCAACGTGTTTCTGTTTTCTTCTGGGTGGGAGCCCCTCTGGGATGGCTCGCTCCCATGCCAGTCCAGGCTCAGAAGCTCGAGTGGCCTGCAGCACTGAGGATACAATTTGAGAATCTAGTCCAAGGCACCTCCATCAAAAATAACAAAAACAAAAACAAAACAAAACTGATGTTCTTATTATGCATTACGGAAATACATCAACACATCTCTGTAGTAAAATATGAAGACTTTATGCAAGTGGTTTTTGGAACAGAAGCCAAAGAAATCCACAGAAGTGAAATTAAATTTCTTGGCCACGGAGACGAACCAAAAGCCTACTTCAGGCCGAGTTAGATGGCAAACGCCACAATTAGGTGGCGGGGAAGCAGGACTGCGTGTGGCCGCGGCCCTTCCTCAACAATAAAAGCTTCAGAACGAGAGAACGAGAACAGGACCCCTCTGTGCCAACGCGTATTCCTCTTGACTTTTTTATGTCTTCATAAAACACAAACTGTTGGCCTTAACGAAACCGTAACATAACACACGCCACAGGAGTGGCTCTGAAGCCAGGGAGGACACACGGGGACGAACGGATCACGGATCGCGGCTCAGCTCCGCACCGTCTGCGTCTCACCCCGCACGCCGGCCGTCTCAAGCCCCGGGGGACGAGTCCTCTCAGCCACGGGCCACCCCTCCGCGAGTGCGTGCTCCGCTCGAGGACAGACAGTGTTCCCGGGCGCAGGGGCGGCGCGTGGAGAACAAAGTGAAAAGCTGTTCCGGCTTACCCTGCGATGACGACGCCATCGTGCGAGTGCACATCGCACAAAACCGCGTCGGCGACGTGCTCCAGCTCACTCACGGCGCCCCTGCGGTTCTGCGTAAGGAAAAGGGGGTGCAGTTCTCGTTACTCCTGGGACGGCCAGAGACAGAGCACGTCAGCCTCACCTACACGCCGCAGGGATTTACGGCAGGGACTGCGTTCAAAGCTACCTGGACAGCCAAACGGACAAAGATGACAACTGACACGCTGCCCCATCAGCACACACAAGTTACCACACGCGCGCACATACATGCACATGCGCACACACACACACACGACAAGCACTGAACTAGGGGCCCCGGCGTGGGAGAACGCCGCCCTGTGCTCAAGGGGACAGGAAGGCGACCTGTCCGCACTGGTAGCTGCAATCCACACAAGGCTGGCAGCGGCAAGTATCTGGAGAAAGGTATGAAGTGCACGAAAAAGTTCAGGTCAGAGAAGAGGAAGTATTTAATGATATTTTACCTGTTAACAGCCCTCAGAATAAAATGAACAAGTACACTCAAAAAGGCAAAATCAGGATGGGAAAGGAAGAAAAGCCACTGATCCGGATTGAGAGGCCAGAGGTTCACGAAAGTAGTTCTTCAAGGAAACCCTAGAACCCACGACATTTGCCACGCCAGGGCCGGGGACCAGATGGTCGGCGAAGAGAGGCGAGAAAAACACGTACCTTTCACTGTATGCCCTTTTCTGACTCTCAAATGATGTGTAGTGTGGCATTTTATTGATCCAAATATACATGTAAAATAATTATTTTTAAAATACAAATAGCCCTGGCTGGTGTAGCTCAGTGGATTGAGCGTCAGCCTGTGAACCAAAGGGTCACTGGTTCGATTCCCAGTCAGGACACGTGCCTGGGTTACAGGCCAGGTCCCCAATAGGGGGTGTGCTAGAGGCAACCACACAATGATGTTTCTCTCTCTTTCTCCCTCCCTTCCCCTCTGTCTAAAAATAAATTTAAATAAATAAATAAATAAATAAATAAATACAAGTAAAGGGAACCGGAAGGACTATAAAGCATCTACATGTGGGATGCTGGGAAGGGTGGGAGAGTGAAGCCGAAAGGAAGTGTGTGTGATGGTATTCCTGAACACCGGGCCAGCCGTCACTCCCGCTTTACCGGACTGGCCCAAGGACTGGAAACCGTGTGAGTGCTGGGCACAGCTGGTGGCACATAGCAAGTGTTCAAAAATGGCGGCAACCCTTATTATTATATTACTGGGAGACGGCTGATGACACCCACCCCATTAAAAACAACATCAGAGTAGCTGTATTCTAGGCACTGTGCGGGATGATCTGCATGATGATCTCACTTGAAGACCAGGTCCAAGGCTGAGGGGCACCCAAGGGGAGCTGTCCTGCCAGTGGATGTATGGGGATGGAAGGGAAGGACTTGGGAGTCATCTCTGTGAGGACACAGCCCAAGCGTAAGCACAAGGATAACAACGCTCTTTTGAGGGGCAGGTGTTGAAAGAAAAAGCGAGGGCCTGACAGCAAAACCCACGTGCTCATGGCATTCACTCACTTCTGCCACGTGGCTTCCCCACCCCGCCACCACCCCAGTGGTCCTCTGGTCTTGGAGAAATCCTCGAAGGGCAGAGAGAAAAGAGTTAATGCAAACACCAGGAAGAGGAACACTACAGCCACCATGCCCAGCTTATCAAATCATTTCCCTGTTGGCTCTGAACTGCAGGTCCAGGGAAGTTCCTGCGCTCACAGCCTGTCTCCCGTGTAGAAACGCCTGAGTGCCCTGGGGTCCCCTCTCAGGTTCCCCAGACACTGACCCAGGGAATACCAAACCAAATCACCTGCCTGACCCATCCTGACGTCAGCCACAAGTAGCACCGAACCACAGTGTCTGCGTGCAAAGGCCCGTGAGCGCTCCGGCCAACACTAACTGAGCACGGGGACGAGCAGGGCTGCTCTGAGCCCCACTGGAGAGTGGAGAACACCACGGCACAGAAGCAACGCGACTTGCTCTGACACTGCCTTTCCTGTTTCGATAGGACTTTTTTGTTCTAGCAGCACAATGAGAATCCCATCATTACAGCTCATGCAGTGTTTGCTACTGAATATTTCACTTATGTGGTCCTCGCTGGTAACATTGTCCGAAAAACAGGTCCAAGATACTCCAAAGAGAAGCCTCTCTCATATTCTGCCTGCAGTTTGACTCAGTTCATTCGGTCAACAACCACTCACCAAACACAGGGCTTCGTGCTAGTTGGAGAAAACCAATAAATAGATGTTCAGTTAAATCTCATGTGACTTGTGCACTGTTAATAAGTGCCAGATGACACGAGGTGGGTCTTTGAACCCCTTCCCTTCTGCCACCCCCAGCCTGGAGGAGGGGAGATGTCCGGGCCGCCTCCCTCGCCTTCTCCTGTACCACAGAGGAAACAAAAGCGCGGCCGCCGCTCTCTCTCAGGGCCTGACCTCTCTGAACCGGGGCACAAGCACACGGGGTGTCTGCAGCTCTCATGCTCAGTGATCTCAGAAGTGCCCCTTCCCCCCAGCCTGAAACGGCCCAGTTAATGCCCACCTCTCAAGCTTACCTTAAATTGCAGCCCCTCCTACCAGCATTAGACCCTGGCTTTCTGCCCTCCCCTGTCGCCACCTGTCTAAGCAGCTTTGTCAACCCCTTAAGCCTGGCTCTCGCTTATGTCCCTCACACAGACCTACTCAAGCACACAGGCAAGAGAGCCACGGGTGCCCCCACACACGTTCATTACCCGGTGAGGAGGCAACCTGTGGGCGGTGTGACTTTTAATTGATACTGAGTGGTGGCATCTTAATGGCCTGAGAAAGGATAGCTCTGCTCATTCTCCTTAGAAAGGTGGTTCTCCACCAGGAGCGATGTTGCCCCCAGGGGACATCTGAAGATGTCTGAAGACATTTTCGGTTGTCACAGCTGGGAGAGAAAGAGAATGCCCCTGGCACCTACTGGGTAGAGACTACGGAGGCTGCTCAACGTCCTCCAGGGCAGAGGGCAGCCCTCGCCGCGGAGAACTACCTGGCCCCAGCGCCTCCAGCACAAGGGCTGAGACCCACGGCTCTTACTGACTTTGCCAGAAGCCGTGCGAGGTCGCCCAGATCAAGAGTATCAGTCACTAATCAGGTTAGAGGTGACTGGGGACAGACGTGCACACAGGCCATATGTCACCATCGGTAATGAGCAAAAGCCTGTCCATCTCCAAGTCTATCAGGACTGACCTTTACAGGAGAGGACAGAGTACGGTTTTCTCCCCTCCACGCGGCCAACACCCAGCCACGCAGGCGGGGAGGAGCACGACCGCCGCCCGGCTGTCTCGTCGCGCCTCGAGCAGCTTCACGGGACACTGTTCTCGACACTTACTTCCTACAGAAACACTGCGCTGTGACATTCTTAGTTGTGATCTAATATTTCTGTAGAGATTCTGAAGTGATAAATGTGATGGAAGCAAGCCAAGAAGAGGTTACGGGAGGGAAGAGAAGGCAGGGCTTAGAGACATTTAATAATCTCCCTCTTAACACTTACTGGAAACAGCCCCTCTTTTGTATTCAGGTGGCGCTTTTGCTTTCTCGGTCGGTCCAGGGAGGCGGAGGTGGTGAGAGGGGCCGTGCGGAGCCCTGTGTCGAAGACCCTGCCGGCAGAGGGGGGCGGCCGGCCTCCCTAGCTCCCCTTCCCCTCCCGGAGAACAGCAGGACGCTCCCAAAGAGCGTGGCTGGAACGGGGGCAGAGACTCCGAGGGCGAACAAGATGGGCAACGAGGCACCGACAGCTGAGGGTACGCTCCCCATCCTCCTCTCCCTTTGCTCCTGGCAGTTAACCTCAGGCTGCAACCAGAAGGACTCGGTGATCAGTCCCGGGCTGGGATCCCCGTGTCCCTGCAGGCTCTTCTGCAGGTAATGATATTGGCCATCGCCTACCTTCCAGTTGGTTCTTAACATGTGTTCCTTGGCTCGGCACTCTCGGAGGACGCGCTTCCAGCAAGAGTAGTCAGAGATGCTGCTCTCGGGAAGGCGGCCGTCCTGCTGGCACAGCCGGTACCACAGCACTTCGTCCTCGGCGATCACCTTCCACGTCTTGCTCACCTACAACGGCAGAAGTGACACAAGTGTCAAATCCTGCAATTAGAGAAGGCCCTTGTCATCCAAAAATCAATCAACACCTTTATTATTGCCCTGGGTTTATGGCAGTATAAAATGTCTCATTAACAAAACACTCCGAGGTGGGAAAAAAAAAAAAGCAACAAGCAAATGTTTCCAGTTTTATCTTTCAAGATTGCAAAATTGTTGTATTATCATCTGATATCACATTTTAGACTACTTGAAGTATTATATAACCTCAGAGAAAAATACGCAAACACACAAAAGGCAAGAAATACACGCTATGCCGTGCTGAGTGGTAGACAATCACACACAGCTTGTCAGAACAGAACCACTTTGCTCCCACCGACAGGCCCTTGCAGTCCCGTCTTACAGGGCTGGAGGCCCGTGGCCTCTGAAATAGAAGCCACAATACAATAAATATCCCTAACTCAAAACTTCTGCTTGTGTGAGAATTTCAGATTTATGGTACGTGTGAAAGCTTAGATTTTAAGTGTGTACCTTAAGAAATATTTAACAGAAACTCAAGCTGTTAACCAGGACTGTAAGATCTGATACAGAGAAATGAATGTTATGTCTGGACTGAATTTCAAATCCCAACAGTATCCAGAGGAAACGGCAGTTTTAGCGATTAGTGCTTTGTCTTCCAGGCCTATCTGAGGGGAACAATGAGTTTACTTCACCCCCCCGATAATGTACAAGGTGGGGCAGACTGCAGAAGGTGGACTCCGCCGGCAAGGTGAGAAACTGACCCAGCAGATCACCGTGTTCTTGGGTCACAATGCATTCTGACTGTGGCTCACCCAACTCATTTTTAATCAAGTAAGAGTTGTGACCAATGGCTTCAGTTACCAGTGCTCCTTAACACTGCCGCGAGGCCACTTCAAGACGTCAAATTACGCAGGTGAGAAGAACGCATGTGAGCCAGAGTAAGAGCACGCGCAGGGCCCATGCTCCCCGCACACGGATGCCTCACTTAATGACGAACTGATAGGGGGTTAACTTTTGGAATTACAGAGTGAAGATCTCCAAAAATCTGCTCCTCCATAAAAGCAACAAAAATGCTGCCAAAAATTGTCAAAAATCAACTTTTTCACAGCTCTGGAAATTAACTAAAGGCTTGCAACATTTTGAGGAGCGTTTATTCAAGAAAAATGGCTGAATCTTGGTAAGAAGCGTAACTTCTGTTTTGTTTGAACTTTCGCTAATCCCATCTTCCTCCTTCAGCTCCGTGGTGGCCGTGAAGACCGACAGCCTTGCAGCCACAGTAGCTGTAAAGTCCAGGAGCCCCGCAGCCACTGGGGGGGCCAGGCAGGTTTCCAGTGCCCCCAAAGTGCCATCCCCAGGGAAATGTCGCCATTTGGCCTGCCTGGCAGCTTGCCGAGAAACTCTTCTGAAGGCGGGTCTTTATCCGAACTGCCTCAGAGTGCACTCTGTCCTGTCCCCAGGGCATTTGTCAAAGACAGTAAGGGACAACTGTTGAACATGGCAGCTGCCTAAGGCAGCATGACCAACTGGGGCTAAAAAGAGAAGGACCGGAACACTTAGAAGGAAAATCGGGGGGATGGGGTGCCCAGAGCGGGCTCTGAAAGGCTCCAAGATGTTTCTGGGAACAAAGAAGGTCACGAGCATGAACGGAAATGTGTGTATGTGTGCCCAGGGAAGTCCTGGTCTCTCAGCTCTTGCAAACCCCGAGGCTCTGCACAAGCAGGAGGTGCAGGCTAACGCAGGCTGTAAACTACAAGCACACTGAAGGCATGCCCCACACCCAGGGTGTACCTCAGCAAAGGCTGGGAAACGTATTGGTCCAACGTACTTAAGGGAATCTCCATCTAAACACTAGCTAACCACTAAGCAAACTGAGCAGAGACTTGGTCCGAAACAAAACAAACAGGAGGAGCAGTAACAAAAATACCACGTTAACGAACCCTGCAGAGGGGGGCAATCTGATTTCCAGAGTGCCACACTTTTTTAAAGGCCGGTTTTTAACACAAAATGATGAGACACACGAGAAATGGGAAGGTGCAACCCGTGTACAGGGCAAGAAAAACAGGAGCTAGAAACCATCCCTGGGGAAGCCCAGACGTCATAAAATCACTAAACAAAGACTTTGCACCAGCCACTGTGTGTGTTCAAAACACTAAAGGAAAGCATGTCTGAGGAGTAAAGGGGGTATGGTATAAGCACAAGTTCTCGCCCAGTAGAGAATATCAATAAAGAGATATGCTATTTTTAAAAACCAAATAGAAATTTTAGAGTTGAGAGGCACAATAACTGGAATAAAAACTTCACCAGCGGGGTGCAAAAACAGACGTGAGCTAGCAGAAGAATCGGGAAACTTAAGGTCAATTAAGATTCTTCAGTCTGAGAAAGAAAAAAATGAAGGAAAAATGCACAAATCAACCAACCAACCAAACGACGAAGAAAATGACCAAGCCGCAGAGACCTGAGAGGCACCATGTGTGTGGGCCAACACAAGCATTATGAGAGCTCCAGAAGGAGGGAGAGAGACGAGGGGGTGGAAAGACTAGCTGAAGAAATAATGATCGAAAACTTGCCACATTCAATGAAAAACATCAATCTACACATCAAAAAAATTCAACAAACTCCACGAAGACTTCACACCTAGACACATCACAGTCAAGCTGTTGAAAGCCAAGACGGAGTGAGTCTTGAAAGCGTCAGAGAAAAAAGACCCACTGCACACAGGGAGTCTGTTCGTATCAGAAATCACGGGGCGGCCTATGCAAATTGCCAAAAGAGACTGTCAGCCAATAACTATCTGTCCGACCAAACTATCCTTTGAGAAGAAAAGAGGAACGAGGTTATTCCCAAATAAACAAAAAAACAATTCTGCTGCCTGAAGCATAAAACCGTGTTGACAGGCATATAACACATAAAAATATGATGTGTATGAAATGATAGTACAAAGGAGAAAGAGGGAACAAAATTATATTGGAGCAGTTTTGGTATAATCTTGAAATTATAAATTGGTATTAACCCAAAGTAAAATTTTTTATAATGAACTTGTAATCCCCAGGGCAACCACTGAGAAAACACAGTAACTTTTTAAAATATGGCAAAAGAAACAAGGGAATTAACATGGTATGCTAGGAAAATGTCTTCATGAAAGAAGAGAGTGATGCAGGAAAAGGGGAACAAGCGCGCACGGCAGGCATCGACGCTGCCTCATCCGTGATCACACTGAAGGTGAAGTGACCGAGTGTCCCCATCGGAACACAGACTGGCAAAGCAAACACACACGACGTGACCTGCGGCATCTCTGAGAGACGCACTGCAGATTCAAACACACAGACCAGACGGAAGTAAAGGATGAAAAAAGATACACCGCACAAACAATACCCAAAAGGGAGCTGGAATTTGTACACTAATGCCACATAAAATGAACTTTAAGACAAAACTTGTTTCTAGAGACAAGGATATTTTTATAATGAGGGTGAACCCAACAGGAAGATACGACAACTACGAACCTAACATACGCACTTAACGACAGGGCCCCAACACGCACAAATCAAAAACTGGTCGATGTAAAGGAAAACGTGACAGTTCTACCACGATACCCGAGGCTGCCCCACTCCGCTTCCACTAATGGACAGAGTACCTAAACAGAAGAATACCAACAAGGAAATGTAAGACCGGAACAGCCCTGCAAACCAGCCAGACGTAAGAGACATCCGTAGAACACTCCCGGACGACAGGGTGCAGCCCTTCTCACGGGCAGCGGGCGCTCTCCAGGACAGCCCGTGTGCTAGGACGTAAAACAAATCTCAGCCCATTTAAAGGGACTGGCATCATACAAAGTATGTTCTCTGACCACAACAGAGTGAAATCCCAAGTCAGTAGCAGAAGTAAATTTGGGAAATTCACAAATATGTGGAAATTAAACACCATACTCCTAAATAATCGATAGGTCAAAGAAATTGTGAGAGAAAGTAGAAAGTACTTGGAGATGAGTGAAAACACAAATGGAACATGCAAAGCTTATGGGACAGAGTAAACACAGTGCTTCATGGGAAATTTATATCTGCAAAACTCCCCGCATTGAAAGAGATCTGAGGCCAAAAAGCCTTCTCCCTTCAAAAACTAGAAGAGAAAACTAAACCCAAAGCAAGCAGAACAAAGGAAATAAAGATTACAATAGAAATAAGTGAAATCAAGAAAAATCAAGGAAATAAAATGAGTTCTTAGAAAAGATCAACAAAGTTAACGAAACTTTACCCAGCCTGACCACAGGAAAAAAGAGAAGACTCAAATCACTAAATTCAAGAACGAAAGAGAAGCCACCACTACAACGTAAAGTATTAAAAGGGAATACTGTGAACAATTATATGCCAACAAATCAGATAAGCTAGATGAAATGGTTACATTCCTAGAAAGACACAAACTACTGAAACCAACTCAAAAAACAGACAATCTGAAACAGACCTATAACAAGTAAAGACGTTTCATTGATAATTTTAAAACTTCATGTACAGAAAAGCCCAGGCCTAGATGGCTTCCCTGGTGAACTCCACCAAATGTTTAAAAAGGAATTGATACCAAACATTCACAAACTCTTCCAAAAAACAGAAGAGAGAACGCTTTCCAACTCAGCTAGGAGGCCAGTGTTACCGATACCAGAGCCAGACAAACACCATGAGAAAAGAACACTACAAACCAACACCTCTTATGAGTATACACAAAAATTTTCAACGCAACACTAGCAAACTGAATCCAGCAACACATGAAATATGTGCCATGACCAAATACAGTCTATCCCAGCATACAAGCTTGGTTTAAAATATAAAAATCGATGTAATATATATTACTAGAATAAAGGACATAAACCACATGAAGTTCTCATAAATTTTGTTAAAAACTATAAAAATTTTAAAAACAGTAGGGGAGTTCTTTATATTCAAAACGATTCTACGTGGTACAAAAAAATTCACAGCACAGCAGAGTTCCTTTACGTAACAACCTCC